TGGACTTCAGCTCCCAGAATTCCCAAGCTAACATGACTGGAGGAGGAATTCTGGGAGCTGAAGTCCACAAGTCTTAAAGCTGTCAAGTTTGAAGACCCCTGCAATAAACACAACCCAAGGCTGTGTCATACCCATCGGAGTCTGAATCCAAGGAGGAAGTTGAACAGCTGACAGGGAGTGGGAGTGTGGCTCTGTTGGCTGTGGAAGAAACTGGGGAAGGGCAAAGTCCGGCTGAGCAGAGCAGGGCAGAGGTAGAACAAAGGAGAGGGGGTTCGGAGGAAGACCCACCCCCTCTTCATCCTAGGGCACACAGGGAGGAACGGAGAAGAGAGCAACGTGGGTGGCTTGGCTTACAGGGGAGGAAAGGGCCCTGATTCCCTTCATTAGCCACACCTGAGAAGAGAGTTTTAAAAAGATACTGCTGAGTGTGGCAGCTGCTGGGAACAAACATGAGTTTATCTTGTGTTGACTGTGGTTATCTGTGTTCCTGGCATCCTCCCAACTGGTTTGATTTACTACTGTGCCTTCACTCTGGAATTCTTGCTCCTGCCCTGCCGGACTAATGACCTCATTTTGCCTTGATTGGACTTATAGTTACAGTTTTTGTTGACCATGTTTTGGACTTGATTCTCTGCAGCCAAAGGCTCTTCCTGGGAGAGTTTTTTTTTTCTCCAGCCAGAAGGTAACCAGGACATTGGGGGCAAAGTTGGAGCTCATAAAGGGAGTCCTACTGATTATCTGACTGTGTTACCTTTGTGCCACGCCCTGGGCCATCACAATCTGGATTGTACCACAAAGGAGAACAAGCCATAATTTGCCTCATCATCCGGCAGGGTGAAAACAGCTGGCATCACACATTTACCCAAATGTCTGTCCAGAAAGTCTCTAATTCTTGCTTCGGGATTATAGAGGCAAGCAGAGACCTTTTCTAAGTATCTCACAGGAGGAAGCTGGAGACCTCATAGCATTGCTTGGCTTGGCTGTCTAGCCTGGAGGAACACGTGTTTTCATGCTGGCCAAGAGTAAAACAACATTCATTGTGAAAACCGTCAGGAGTGAATTTGCGAGGCAGGCTTAGAGCAAACCAACGAGTCCATGAAGACAGGTCTGGAACGTTTCCTTCCCACAGCCTCACATCTGGACCTGGGTTGTTTGTTCTCACATCAACCAAGCCTCTCTGCCCCACTGAACTTCCCCACAGTCTCACCCATGCTGGCAAAGAACCGGATTCTTCCTCTGACTCAAGGCTCTCAAAACACCCTCCTAGGTTTTACACTGGGGGGAGGAAGTGGACAGTGAAAGCAGTAAACAGGGAGCGGTTTCTCCTTCTTCTAGGGAAATGTTGACAGAGAGGCCCATCATCTCCTCCGCAGTGGTTTTTTTTCCCCCAACCACAAGTGTATTTAAAGCATCAGGTCAAAAATTCCATGCTGAATAGAGTGTCTTGAAGTTTCATTTCTGCTAGTAAAAGCCTCCCCCTAAATCAGAGGCCTCCAAACTTGGCAACTTTAAGACTTGTGAACTTCAACTCTCTGAATTCTCCAGCCAGCTATGCTGGCTGGAGAATTCTGGTAGTTGAAGTCCACAAGTCTTAAATTTGCCAGGTTTGGGGACCCCTGCCCTAAATTGTCAAGAAGTGAATGGAGAAGCCCTGAAGCAGCCTGTTGATTTGCTTCAAGAAACGCATCGAAGTTTAAGGGTAGGCCACTTTGGAAACCAAAAAATGGACTGACCCCCACAATTCAAGGTTCCCAAATGCTTAGGGGAGAAATGAGGATCGTTGCAATCTGCAGATGTTGCTGAAGCATAAAGCTTAATTTTGAAGCATAAATCTCATAGAACACAGAAAGGGACCCCCAAAGGTCTTCTGACCCTCTGCTCAAGTCAGAAAACCTTGTATCAAGGGTCTTCAAACTTGGCAAGTTTTAAGACTGGTGGACTTTCAACTCCCAGAATTCCTGAGCTAACATGACTGGAGGAGGAATTCTGGGAGTTGAAGTCCACAAGTCTTAAAGCTGTCAAGTTTGAAGACCCCTGGTCTAACATGGGGGGGCCTTCAACATCAGCCATTTTAAGACTTGTGGCCTTCAGTTCCCAGAATTCCTGAGCTAATCTGACTGGAGGAGGAATTCTGGGAGTTGAAGTCCACAAGTCTTAAAGCTGTCAAGTTTGAAGGCCCCTTGCCTTATACCATCCCAGTCAAATGGTTGAAGAAGCTTCTTGGATGAGAAGCGAAACATTTTCAGAGAATTTAAAAAAACAAAAAACAAAGATAGTCCAGCTGCCCTTTGGAAAAAGCACCCCTGGGACTCCCAACGACGAAACACCAAACCAGATGGAAGGGGCAAATTTCATTTTGTAAAAAGGAAACGATCTTCCTCCATCCCAGACAGGTCTTGAACACAGAAAAGCCTTCTTTAAAAAAAGCCCCTTAATCAAGAGGGGTGAGATTTGAGACAGATCTAGGTCAGCTATTTCATGACACAATTTCTTTAAAGATGCCACCTGATGAGCATATGAAAAGCTAGAGAGCAAGAAACCAGATAATACATCACTACAACAAATTATATCAATGGCCTTAGTTATCATTTTACATAAGTCCTCTGAAATCCAGAAATATTGAAAAAGAAGCACTTGCTTCGAACTGGGATAGCAACAATGGAAATTTTGTATCTACCCTGTTTAATTTGAAAATTCACATATGTTGGGTGTAGCCAAAATCGTGGGCATGGAAAAAAATAAGTCACATAAAATTCTAACATGTCAGGAAACATGAAAAAGGAAACAATGTGTTTTCCATTCTACTTTTTTTTTTGCAATTGAATATTTATGATATTGGACTCAAAAAAGAACTACATGTGTTTTTGGTTTTTTTACTAAACAGAGAACAAATCATATGACTAAGAAATACATGTTCTACATGGCAAAACGAAAAAAATTGATAAAGTACCTGCAGGGGGGAAAAAGCAAAAGATTTAGGGCTAGATTATACACTCAAAAAATGAAGTCAGGAAGAAGATCTGTTTTGTCTGCCAAGGAATGCCCAGAAAAATTCACAAAGAGTATTTTACCTGTGAGAGTTGTCTTTTTCTCCCCCTACTCATTAATGGCTAGTGGTTAGTCAAGAAGAGAAATGATGACATGTACATTATGATGTCATTGTGCAAAAGACAAGAAAGGTGTCAACTGTGTCATTATATAATATGACTGACATTATATCGTGACTTTGTCTACTGAAGGGGTCTCCAAACTTGACATCTTTAAAAGTTGTGGATTTCAACTCCCACAATCCCCCAGCCAGCATGGTTACCAAGTTTGGAGACCCCCTAGTCTAGTGGTTAAGGCAGCAGGCTAGAAACCAGGAGATGGCGAGTTTTAGTCCTGCGTTAGGCCTGGAAGCCAACTGGGTGATTTGGGGCCAGTCAGAAGGAGACTTCAGTCCCTAGTCTCACCTTAGGCACGAAAGCCGGCTGGGTGACTTTGGATCAATCTCTCTCTCTCAGCCTCACAGTAATTGTTGTGCTAGTCGTTTCTGGCTCTAGGGGCCGGTGCTTATCTCCGTTTCAAAGCCGAAGAGCCAGCGCTGTCTGAAGACGTCTCCATGGTCCTGTGGCTAGCAGGACTAAACGCCGAAGGTGCACAGAACGCTGTGACCTTCCCACCAAAGGGGTCCCTATTTTTCCACTTGCATTTTTACATGCTTTCAAACTGTTAGGTTGGCAGAAGCTGGGACCAGTAATGGGAGCTCACTCCGTTATGCAGCGCTAGGGATTCGAACCACTGAACTGCTGACCTTTCTGATTGACAAGCTCAGCGTCTTAGCCACTGAGCCACCATGTCCCTTTAAAAATAATAATAAAGTTGGGATAAAAAATACAAAATTAAATACAAAATTTAAAAATGAAATACACAAATTGCTTTATTTGCATGATGACAGCGTTGTGGTTTTTATCAGACGCCTATGCCCAACCTTTTCCAATTTGCTGACTGAAGGTCTCACAGTGACTTTAAGACAAGACCCACAATCATTTCTCACAGGAGGCTAAGCCAATGTAGTTCATGCACCTGTGCTTCAATGCGTTGTGCATCAGTCATGGTGATTTGGAAACCATAGCTCAGATATGCAAGAAGATTTTGCACTTCCCACAATTGCGGTTTTATTCAACAAATTGTGATTCCACAAAAGACTGGCTATTGAAATGTGTGGATCCCGTTATACAACCACTTCCACTGCAATCTGCAACAACGGATCTTGAGATACACTAGGAATATTCCAGAATTCCAACTTCTGGAATAAACTTTTGTCCAAATCACAGGTATTTGTTATCTTCCTGAAAAAGAGCAAGACAGTGAGACTGATGAAAAAGATATTCAAACGAGTTTAAAGGGGGTCCCAATGCTAATATATACAAAGCCTACTCCATTCGTATCATCGTCACATCACATCGTCACACAGTATAAAACAGGAGCAGCCCAGCGTTGCCAACATCTTTTCTGGGTTCTTTTTAGTTTTTGAGCGGAGGAACTTGAGTTGAGGTTTGAAGAGGTAAAAAACAGAAGCCTTCAAGCTCTGCAGATGGCTAAGAAACTGCAGGAGGTCCTTGACTTATAACCATTCATATAAGTGAACCCTTCAAAGCTGCAATGGCACCGAAACTAAGGACTCAAAAGGACCCAACCTTGCACTTAAAGACCATAGCAGTATCCCCACAGACCCAGGTCAAAATTCAGGGGCTTGGCGAATCAGCATGGTACATCCATGGTGTACACCCACTGCATAATTTTGGATGGCGTCAGCAAGAGAACATTTCTAGCATATTGCACAGAAATAGAAATCTAAGTAAAACTATATGTTAATACATTACTGGGGTGCAATAAAGAAAGCCAGGTCTACCCCAAGAGGAAGGAGCATAGTAGAAGCGCAGAATGTAAGCGTTACCCTAAGTGTTGCACTTAATTAGCCAAAGTTGTTTAGACATGGAAACTGTTCCAAGACTTACTTGTCAAGGAAATCCTTGTCCACCACAGCACAGATGTCGAGGAGGGGGTTGCCCATTCCAAAGAGGACATTTTCACTGCAAGATAAAGTTCTTCAAGTTACTTGATGTTACAAACTGCAGAGTCCTTATAAATCCTCAACTTACAAGAGTTCATTTAGTGAAGTTACAATGGCACTGAAAAAAAAAATAACTTATAGCAATAGCACTCAGACTTATATAACACTTCGCAGTGCTTTACAGCCCCTCTCTAAGCGGTTTAGAGTCAGCCTCTTGTCCCCGACCATCGGGCTCCTCATTTTATCCATTTCAGAAGGGCGGAAGGCTGAGTCAACCTGGAGCCGGTGAGAATCGAACTGCTGCCAGTTAGCAAAGTCAGCCTGCAAAATTGCATTCTAACCACTGTGCCACAATGGTTCTTAGGATTATCTTTCACACAATTGTTGCAGCACTTTCCTGGTCACGTGATTAAAATTCAGATGCTGAATTTTACAATTTATTAAACAAGAGGAATTTTGGGCTCAATTGTGGTGCTAAGGATGAGGACTACCTACCTATACAAGCTCGCACCATTTTGAGAGTGCAAAGCCCTTCTCTCTCTCCCCCATGAAGTCAGGATTAATTAATGACCTCAACTGCTGCGCCAAACAGAGATCAATCAGCGGCCTTTCACAGATTTGTTTTTAAGCCTTTCTGTGCGTTTGTGTAAAAAGCACACACAGTGCAGAGTTCACAGCAGCTAAGTGGCTTTTGAAATCCTCAAATGTTGTTTTTATCAAGAGGCACACTTGAAAAGTCATGAAGATAGCTCAAGCTGCTTTATCTGTAATGCAGATTTTTTTAAAAAAACCAAAAAGCAAATTTGTAGGCACCAGCTGTCCTTCTGTAGATGCCTGAGGAATTTTTAAATTCACTCAGTTTGCTGGAAAGCAAACACTTGATCAAAGTTTTATTGATCAATTCCTGTAAGCTAGTTTTTTCTGTCCTTGAGATACGTTGAGTAAATATTTATCAGCATAGCCATAGGACCCAAAAGCTACAGAGTTTTTAAAAGGAGCCATGGATAGAACACGTGCTTTTCAGATTCAATATTATTTATTTATTTGGTAGAATTAGAGCTTCACTATTCTCATGAGACAGAATTCACTTACAGCCTTTGTCTGCATTGACCACTGATTTCCATGAGGTTTAAGAAGTTGCATCCAATTTTTATGCTGGCCTTTCTGGGTAAAATATGTTTTATGATTCATCTAGCTTATAAATTAATACTAAGTAAAATTAAGAGCTGAAAAGTGTGTGTGTGTGTGGGGGGAACTAATGTTCTTTCTGTTTTACAGTATTTTGGCTCCAGTTAATAAAAGATTACAATCTTTTTTTCAAAGGAAGCCCAAAATTTTTGGCATCTGAAATGGAACCCAAAGGTCTCTTTCTCCAACTGAATCAAAATTTTAGGAAGTCATTCTGGCCCTTTTCAGACCCCAATGCCTAGATTTCACCAGCCAAATGTGTCGTTTTTTTAAATCTGACATTTAATTTTTTTAAAAAATATAACATTTTAAAAATTAAAAATCTTTAAAAAGTAAATTAAAAAAAATATCCAAGATTAAAAATCCTTTTTTGTTAAAAAGGAAAAAAAGAGATGAGTGCAAGTTTAATTTGCTGATAATGAACAAGTCTGGTTTATCTTACTACAGGCAAATGTGATCATGGAAATTATCAATGTTAACAGAAATGTGTCGCCATAAATGATAACAGCTGTAACTCTTTAAGCAGATGCTTCCATGTCATAAGCTCCATGTCATAAGCTAGTCCAAATTTTATAAAATAATGTTCACATGGCATATTGTCTCCTTCAAGTTAAGCTCACCATCAGGCCTACCACCACCCAGATCGAAGATCAGCTTTCTAGAGAAGGCCATTCTGGAAATTTCAAGAGGATAGACCAAGGCTCTTCAAACTTGGCAAGTTTAAGACTTGTGGACTTCAACTCCCAGAATTCCTGAACTAACATGACTGGAGGAGGAGGGATTCTGGGAGTTGAAGTCCACAAGTCCACAAGTCTTAAAGCTGTCAAGTCTACTCCTGGGATAGACTCATGTAGTAAAATTGTTATTTTCCAGGAGACAGGCAAATAGAACGCCTGAGTTCATTTTCAAACATCACGCCACAAGTTTCCCCCCAAGTAATTTCAAAGATTTTTACTCCCGCCTTGACTAAGTGCTAATATTCAAGCCCGCAATCAGCTCTCAAAAAGTTGAGACACCTCATTACCAAAATAAATTAAAGAGTCTTCTGGGAAGACAAGAATATTACTGGAACATTTCAGTTTTTATTTAAGTAAATAGGATATGTTTACTACTCAAGAGCTGGCTTTGACTCCAGTGATATACAAGTCCTATAAATAAACTTGGAAAACCGGAAAATCAATGTTCAGCCATGAAGCTCACTATGCAATGTGGTTTATACTTAAGAGCTCACCGATCCTGTTGTTGTAAAGTCTAAAGAATTTCAGCTAAAGTGCCCTGGACGTACTGGACCTATTGGTATATAATTGGTTGCACTGATATCCGAAACAGCTGTTATTTCAGAACTACGCTGAAAGTCTTACTCACAAACTCTTGCAACTGTAGCCGAACATTAAACCCAGAAAATATTTTGAGACATCCAATATTATTGCAAGTCACAGCAAAACCCCACTTGGTTAAAAGAGAAGGAACATCCCCATCCATCAGCAATTCCCACACCTCTGCACCCTACTTCAGGTTATCTCAAACTTCAGGTTTGGTGAGAAGTGCGATGAATTAAGATTCCAGGCAGGTTCTGTATTGGTGGGTTTGGTAACCCAAATTCCAAAACAGCCCTTCCGGATTGAATCTGAAGGACTTGGGGGGGGGGGGGAATCCATGAATCTCAAACTTCAGTTGAAGAAGATTTGTTTGCAAACCCAAATGCCTTGGCTCTCTGAACCCAGCCAGATTATGGATCCATGCTCCGTGCTGGCCAAATGCCAGACCTTGAAAGCCTGAAAGGGCTCCTGATGATTAAAGATCATATTGTCCTGCCTGCCAAGAGGAGGCCTTTCCTTGTCTAAAGGTTTGTGCTGCAAGAACGGCGTGGCGTGATGCCATCCTTGCCTACAAGGATACCTGGGCAATGCCTTTTCCGAAGGAAGCTGGGCCAAATTCACCCTGTGCTTTGCTTTTGATCCACGCAAAGGTTTCAAAATCAACTCCATTTGATTGCTGAGCCTTCAACCTGCCCCTTCATCTTACACAGTTGGGGAACCTTGAGGTTTTTAAGAAGAGACTGGACAGTCCCTTGTCTGAAATGGTATAGGATCTCCCGTTTGAGCAGGGGGCTGGACTAGAAGACGTTCCAAGGTCCCTTTCCAGCCCTATTCTGCTTCTGCTCAGTCCCGCACTGCTTTTGGGGGGGCACTTAGAACCGACCCGAGCCATTGCCTTGAAGGCTTCTAGCTCCGCAGGACCAGAAAAAGAAGGGAGGAGGGGAAAAGGCACAGGATCGGAAGACGTTCTCCAAAAGGATTCAGGGAGAACAGCCTCCCGAGCCAGAAACTTCATGGAGCTTTTAGCGGGTTAAAGAGAATCCAAGCCGCCAGTCGAGCCAGCCAAACCGGCCTTTAAGTCGACAATCCTACAGGCTAAAGAGACTCTCGGGGATATAGAGAGATGCGCGATCCGGATCCGGGCAGGTCTGGTTTAAGTTTAGTATTACTTTGAACTTTAATTGCCACTGCACCGCTCGCATATACAACGCAATTCAATGCCATTCTTCGGCGTACATTGTAACTTGTCAACCTCAAAACAACCAAACATTGTATGTACCTTGTAACCTATGGACATCAAAACACAAAACACACACCCTTCGCCCTCTATGCACCTGAATCGAAACCCCCTGATATTGCATTCATTCGATTCAATTCATTCATTAATATTAATTATTTTAGATCCGGACTGTTGTATCCCTTGAGCCGGCTGGAGAGAGAGAAAAGGGGAAAAAAAAAAAAACCGCAGCCAGCAGCAGCCCTTCCTTTGCAAAGGGCTTGCCTGCTTAGCGCTGCAGTGCACCGCTTCCCAAAATATTTGGGCGGCGGGAAGGGTGGGGGGCGAGGGGGTTGGATCCGAGGGCAAAAGAGGGTCAGACTCCCAAGCTCAACCGACGCCGCGTCCTGGCCATGCCGGCCGGATTGGCTCTCCCTCCCTCTTCTCCCCCTTGCACTTAAAAGCAGCAAGCCCACCGCTTTGGTTATCCCCACCTCCCCCACCCCCCAGCCAGCGCTTTGGATTCGGATCCGGAGGCGCCAGGAGAGGTGGAGCTCTGGCCTTACCATCGGGAGGCTGTGAGTTCGATCCTCTGCAGAGGCTAATATTTGGAAGAGACTCTCCTGCTCGAGTAGATGACCTCCAAGGTCCCTTCCAACTCTGTGATTCTATAAAACTTGCTCGCGCTCCCTCCCATTTTTTTTTTTTTTTCACCGGGTCAGTATGCGCCTCTCCCCCCCCCCCGCCACCAAACCGCTTCGCCCGGGGAGGCTGGCCCGGACCCCCCCACCAGACCTATTCGCGGACAGCCACGCTCCGTAGGGCTCGCAGGGGATGAGGCGGCGGAGGCTGCTCTCCTCCCTGGCCACGAGGGAGCCCCCCCACACAAACCCCCCGCCCCCCCCCCCCCCCCCCCCAAAAGATACCCCTCTGAGGCGCCGCAAGTCCCGCCAACTTAAGTTGGCGGCCGAGCATCCCGGCGCTCTTCTCTCCCTTAGCCAAGCGGCTGCTGAGGCAAGTTGGGAAAGCCTGAGGCGAGGCGAGGCGTCCACCTACCTGAGGGTGGCCATGGCGCCGGCGGCTGACGAGCAATGGACGGTCCCCCTTTCCCCTCACCTCGCCTAGCGCGCAAAAGGGCTCCAGGAGCGCGCGCTGAGGGTGGAGGGGGACGGAGCCCGGGGCTCGGGGCCCGCCCGGGCCGCGCCTCCCTTCTTGCCCTGCCGGGCCCGCCGCCATTGGCTGGCATGGGGCGCGCTCCCGAGGGGGGGGGCGCGCCATCTTTGCCGCGCGGGGCTGACGCGCCCCAGCTCCTCCCTTCCGCGCCGGACGCCTTGGCGAGGCGCGCCTCCCGAGGCCGGGCTTCCCCACACCTGTGCGCCGCAGACGGACGCGCCGGGAGAACCGCCCCGCCGCCGCCGCCTTCCCTGACCGCATTCCCTTCCCTGACCGCCCCGCCGCCGCCTTCCCCGGCCGTGAGGCTTCTTCCCACGCCGGGCTCGGGAGGCTGGACCCCCGCGGGCCTCGTGGGAAGGTGCCCGGCGCTTCCTCCCGCCCTCCCTCCACCCAACGCCGGGCCGGTTCCAGAGAGGCTCCGGTTCCATTCCGACCGACTTGGCCAAACTCGCGGAAAAGGCACCCGAAAGCCCCGGGAACTTCCAAGGCTTTTGCCCGCCTTACATCGCGGTGCGGTTTTCCCCGCGGCTGCCTTTCCCCACGACCCCGAATCCAACCGGGGCTTCTGAGTCCTGCACCCCGCGGTGAGGGCTCAGCAGCCGCTGAACTAAAGCGTCCGGCCCCGGCTCCTCCGGCCCCCGCTGGCTTCCTTCAACCCCCACGTTAAAGGGCCGCCGATGCGCTGGGAGGAAGGAATACGACAAGGGCAAGCGCAATGGCGGGATTCAAAGGACAGGCGAGTTTGAACCAGGACTGGAATCCGAGGAAAGCTCTCAGGCAAGACCCCTCCCGAGTCCCCGTGAACATCAAGGGGCGGAGGGAAGTGCATTCAGACGTGCAACATCAGTGTCAACTCTTCAAGGTAGACTGGACTAGAAACCAAAGCCATGCATGCTAATATTATTGTAAAATTAATATGTATTTTAAAATAATAAAATGTATTTCATTTTATATATTTTTTTCTTATGTGCACAGAGAGTATTTGCACCAAGACAAATTCCTTGTATGTCCAATCACACTTGGCCAATAAAGAATTCTATTCTGTTCTGTTCTGTTCTGTTCTATTCTGTTCTGTTCTGTTCTGTTCTGTTCTGTTCTATTCTATTCTATTCTATTCTATTCTATTCTATTCCATTCTATTCCATTCCATTCCATTCCATTCCATTCCATTCCCTATTCTATTCCCTATTCTATTCCCTTCCTTTCTCCCTTCCATTCTATTCTATTCTTATAGTCCTTGATGTATGGCCACTCATTTAACAACAGTTCAGATTTATGGTGGCCAGGGAAAAAGGCAGGACCCGTCCTCGAAAGTATTGCAACTGTTGCACCACCAGATTCGCTTAATGACCGTGTTCGCTTAACAACAGTGGTGGTTTGCTGGATGGCCACAGTAAAAAAAAAGGGGGGGAGGGCTAAAATTGGGTCCATTCCCATGTGCTGAGTGACCAAAACGCCGGTCCCAATTGTGGCCATAAGATGAGGACCACCTGTATCAGCATCTTCTAATTCCGAAAGGGCTTTCCCCTCCCTTCACAAGAACCTCTGAGGGCCTTCTTGCCTCAGGCGCTTTCTCAGGTTGCAGTTCTAGGCTGGACTGGGTTTCCTTTTATCTGAGGGCGCCCAGGTTGCAGCTGTTCCTCAGCGTTACTCCTTGTACTAACTGTCACTATTTTCAAATTAGCAAATGTGTATCTCTTGTATCACACACACACACACACACACAGCCACCTCTTGCCTTGTGCTTTAAGTGAACCCTCTGAGGCGTGAAGGATGAGCTCCTGTGAGAAAAAACATCCCAGGCCCAGCCAAAAAAGGCCCCAGGTGACAGGAACCTAGCCGGACAGACAAGACGAACAGGTGAAGGCACCTGGACTGCTGACCTTCTGTTCTAATAGCTGCTTTCAGGTAAAAAAAAACTCAGCAGAGCTTTGAAGATCAAAAACAGGTATGGCTGCATTACCTAGCCGGTGGCTGGCTCAAACAGAAAACAGATAACAGATAATCAGAGTTGGAAGGCCATCTAGTCCAACCCCCCACCCAAGCGGGAGACCCTGAACCATTTCCAACAAATGGCAGTCCAGTCTCTTCTTGAAAACCTCCAGTGATGAAGCTCCCACAACTTCCAAGGGCAACTTCTGTTCCGTTGATTGATTGTTCTCCCTGTCAGAAAATTTCTCCTTATTTCCAGGTTGAATCTCTCCTTGTTCAGTTTGCATCCATTGTTCCTTGTCTGGCCTTCGGGTGCTTTGGAAAATAGCTTGACCCCTTTCCTCTCTGTGGCTTGACCCTGTCCTCTCTATGAAATGTTTTCCTCATTTGTATCTTGGGAATAGTAGCAGAACGTAAAACCAAGGTGGAAAATAAAGCCATGATACAAAGCCTTCATGTTGTGTGAACCCAGCTGATGTGGTTTCTTAAATACAGTGGGATTAAGCAAAGAGGTCACTAGAAAAGAGCCAGCGCATTGCCTATCATGTCACATGCTCTGATGCTCGGGTGTACATTCAACATGACAGGTTTCTTGGTTTTTGAGAAACAAGCTCTTTAATACACAAAAACTAGAAGTCTACAGAGACATGTCTCTGGACAAAGTGGGGCCTATTTTTCCTACATAGTACCTAATTTGGATTCCCCACACATTAAGAAATTGGAAACTTAGGCTACGAAACACCAATTCACGAAACATGCTCAATAAAAGTTTGCTGGCTTAAGCCAGGATGTTATATAGGATCCAGAAAATGGGGGAATTGCTCACTAAATCACAGTTTGATATGTGGCACTAACAATAGATAGATAGATAGATAGATAGATAGATAGATAGATAGATAGATAGACAGACAGACAGACAGACAGACAGATATTGACAAATATATATAGACAGATGGACAGACTAGATTGTTAAACAGACAAGATAGATAAATAGACTAGATAGACAGACAAGATAGACAGATAAATAGATAAACATATATAGACAGAGACTAGACAGATAGACAGACAAGATAGACAGACAGACAGACAGGCAGACAGAAAGAGAGAGACAGGAAGGTTGATATATAGCTAGAGACGGACAAACAGATAGATAGATAGATAGATAGATAGATAGATAGATAGATAGATAGAT